TTCTCACAAACCCACTAGTACTACCCTAGTGCAAGCCACACCATCTCTCACCTGAAACTGATGTTCTTGCTTCTATCCTTCCCCCTCCCCTCTTGAACCCATTCAGTTGGGCAGTTATTCCAACTACTCCACTGGAACAGCTCTTATCAAGGCCGCCAAAGACTACCATTTTGACAAATTTTATGGTGATTTCTCAGTCCTTATTATACTCAGCCGATCAGGAGGCATTTCACCCAGTTGCACACTCATTCTCCTTGACGGTCTTTCTTTTACTTAAGGATTACACTTTCTCTTTGTGTCTCTCCTAACTTGCTGGGTGCCCCTTTTCAGTCTACTTAACAGGTTCCTCCACACTCTCTGACCTAAAATATTGGAGTAAACCATGGCTCAGTTCTCAGACCTCTTGCCTTCTTTATCTCCACTCACTCTTTAGATGATTTCACTTAGTATCATACCTTAAATACCAATATGCCATTGGCTACTTGAGGTCTCTTCCCTAAACTCTGTACTCATCCATGCTACTGCCGACTATTTCTTGAACAAATGAAGGCAGGAACTATGCTCATCTTCACGGTTATACTCAGCACCTAAAATACTGCTTGACACAGCAGTCAATTATCAACTATTAAATTAATGAAAATTGTGCAACTCAATGCCAGTGAGAGAAAATTAAAAAGATAGATGACAGTCATCAGCTAATTTCAATTAGTTTTTTTTTTTTTTAATACAAGCCAGTGCCATAACAGAAGGCAGTTCATGATATTGTTTTCCAAGTATACGTTGGTCAGATGGTCTGGATTGTTCCAAACCTGAGAATCAGAGCACCGAAAGGAAGTGATAGATTAAATGTCAGTCAGTAAAACCTCTGTTAATATTTTTTTCCTCATTCTCAGGCCATTAGTAATGTTTGAGCAGCAGAAATCTTAGAGACATATTCTTAAATATCATAGAGTAAAAGAATTCTGTGCTGCCAATTCATAACAAAATCAGGTATAATCAATTGAGTGAAGGTTAAGGTTGGCACTGTCTTGAAAAATTAAGCAGCTTAAAAAGGACAGATGTAACAAAGAAAAGGGACCGAGTCTATGTTCCTTTGAACAAGAAAAAAAAAATAAATGTTGATATCCTGAATGTCCATGCCATTTCAGTTTCTCAGACTACAATCCATTAAATAATAATTTAATCACAGCGACATGGATGAACTCACAGATACACTGTTAAGTGAAAGAAGCCAGACATAGAAGACTGCAGAAGATGCTAGTCTTTGCCTCCATTAGGAAGGAGGGTCACATGTTTCCATTTAAGTTAAAGTCAAAAAAGAATAGGGGGGTACTTTCAAAAATGATGAAAATGGTGGATTTCTTAATTTGAGTGATGGTTACATGGGTGTATACATTTGTCAAAACTCAGTGAATTGTGTACTTAAGAGCATTATGTTTTAATAAATTTAAAATATAACTCAATTTAGACAAAATAAGGGTCCTTCAATGAGTGTTCTGGAAGAGGAATGAAATCGATAAATATAAACAAATTTCTTTACTGCAGGATCTTTCACAGCTTTTAATATGCAATTATGCACTGTGTATTTCTAAGAGGAGACTATATGATACAGTAATGTTCCAGACTTACTTGGTCAAAGAACTTTTTTTTCCTCATATACATCGACATCTATAAGGCACTACAGTTTCAGAAACCCAGTAACTTTAGCCTGGAAACAATTCAAACAAGGGCTACAAATACCACTGAAGCCATTAAGAAAAAAATTAACATCTAATTTTAAGCAATGACTTTGTGGTGAACCTTCCAGAATGAACTAGTTATAAAATGTATTCCCATATAAGGTCCAATTAAGGACTAGAGAAATTCTGCCCAAGATACTAACTATAGTTCTGAAATTGTTGACCTTAAATTCCTTCTGGCAGTAATTAGATAACAAAGCCAGATGTATATTGAAGAACTCTAAGCTTATGGCAAGGACGCATCATTCATCATTATATAGACAACACTTACCTGTTTTGTGTAAGACATCCAACTCAGCCAGAGATGTTATTCAAGGCATTAAAACATAGCTAAAGATGATAGGTCACAGGTTGAGCTCCCCAGGAAGCTGACTCTGTGACTGATGTGTGTGCAAGAGGTTTGTGTGGGGAGAGCTCTCAGATCAACACCGGCAAGGGAGCAAGAGAAGCCAGACTGGACAAGGGGAGAAATTTAACTTGGACTTGGCACAACAAAGGCCTCAGTGGATCCCATAGGAGCACTGGAACCAAAGTTATTCAGCCATCAGGCAAGAGGGCCAGCCCTTTATATCCTCTCCTCACAGCAGACCAGTGTCTGCATGCTGGCCGCCACAGAGAAGGGGCATGACCACTGGCAAGTTGGCCTCCTTGGCTAAGGGGAGTCTTCACAGAAAGAATGGAGAGCCAGCTGCCAATCCTTCCAGCAGCAGGCAGCCTGAGTGTCCCAGCCCTGAAGCAGAAGCTGGGCAATGCATCACGGCGCACACTACAGCAGCCAACACACGCTCGTTTCACCAAACTCACAAGGGGCATCTGCCCAGCAAGAAACCATTCCTACCTAATCTGACTCTCATGCTATTAACCAAGAAGCTCTGTAAAAGAATCAGGAGCCTAGATTGTGCCCCTACTACTTTGTCCACAACAAGTATTCATAAAATTGCAACAAAAACTACAAATAATCTTACATGGTTGCCAAAAAAGTATTTCCCAGTGTAAACCACATAAGAAACACTGATTAGTTTTGACATGACTAGAAGCCTAGCTGTTCTTCATGAGACATAATGGACTGAGTTCATCAGAATTAACAAGAAAATGTGTAAAATTTAACCTCAGAAAACTTTTGAATAACTTCCTAACACTGGAGTACTTTTTGTATCACATTTCCCTTTGTTCTCTTTAATAAAATTAAATTGGTATCCCAATAAAGTAACAAGAAAGAATGAGAGGTTCTAGGTTTCTCCCTGGTTCTCCTTTTAACAATCAATTCATCTTAATTTATGCTAATAACAATTCAATCGGAACACGTCTATTGAGGACCTTCCATTATGAGATACCATGATTCGATACCACATGTGAGGTTTCTGAATTACATCTGGGTGGATAATATAATAGTATAATATAGTTGTAATAGACATTACATCTATATTAAGGGCATAGAAATGAAGTTCAACATCTAATAGAGAAGACATTTACACAGATGTCTGTCATGCATTCATTCAACAAACATACTTAAGCACTATGTGCCCAGCTGTGGACAAGATAGACACAGTTCCTGCCTTTATGAGGCTTACATGAGATGTGATGTGTTAAAATAGAAGGCTGCAGAAGATACTATAGTCTTTGCCTCCACTGGGAAAGAGGGCTAAGGAAAGTTTAGGAATAGTAAACTTAGTAAGAATAATAGCAACTAGCCTTTACTGAGTGCTTAAAATGTGCCAGGCACATATGTAAATTTATTTGGTTTTCACATCAATCCTCTGAGGTCTTTTAATTATTAATATTCCCTACTTGCAGATGAGGAGACTTAAACACAGAGGGTAAGTAGCTTAATCAAGGTCACGCAGGTGATGAGTGATAGGCCTGGGATCCAGAGTTGCTCTGGAACTGAGCAGGAATTCGCCACCTGGACACACACACACAAGGAATGGTAAGAGCACTCCAGGCACAGAGAAGTACAAGTACAGAGACATAAAAATGGTCAGAAACATGTAAGTTAAGTCTGCATATAGGCTGACTGGGAGAGGAACCAGAGTACAGGCCCGCAAAGTGGGGCAAGCAGGGTGCAGGTAGATGAAGTAGAGTGTCTTGTGCCCCACATGGAAGGGACTGCAGGAGTGCAGGCATGGGAGTGATGTCAATTCTGTCATTAAATAATATCAGTAAGAATGAAAGTGGCTGACATTCCTTGAGAACTCCTTGTAAGCCAGACATGGGCCAAATACACACATTATCTCATTTTAGCTTCACTACAATCTTCTGAGGAAAGTACCACCATTATCCCATTTTACAAGTGAGAAGACTGAGCTTTAAAGGGAGTAACTAGATGATGCCAGGTTCTACTGCTTATGAGTTACAGAGCCAGGATTCAAAACCAAGGAACTCTAAGGTCTGTGTTCTCCGCTGCCTGCTCGCCAGTGTGCACATTTGACATGGAGGGGTAGGACGGTGGCAGGCAGGGCAGTGAGGGGGACACTAAGGCACCCACCCAGGAAATGGATGGCCCAGGTCTCGACCACAGGGTGCGAGCTGCAGGCTGCAGGAGAGGACATGTGAGAAATACGCATACAGAGGTAGCGCTGGAGACTAAGTGGGATCTGGCAGCCAGAATGAAGAGTTATAGATAACAGCAGCTGTCTGAAGAGGTGGTGATTCCATCACGCAAGTGAATGGGTAGGAACAAGCACTGAGAGCAGGGCAGGAGGATGGAGAGTGAGGGAAGATGCTGAGGTTGAGGTCTCATAGGCTACCATGGAAGGAGCCAATGGGCAGCCGGAGATTTAGGTCTGGAACTGAGGGAAATAAACAGCTATGAAGGTACAGACTTGGCCACAAACATATTGAAGCCATGAGAGTGGCTGAATTTGTCTAGGGAGAACGTGAAGAACGGAAGGTGATGGAACTCTAGAAAACCCCAACTATTGAGGAAAACATTTTCATGCCTGCAAAAATAGAGAGATCGAACTGCTTCCTTGAGAAACCTACTTGGGAAAGGGCTTTCTTTACAAGTAAGGGAAGTTGTCATTACTGGTGGGGGAAAAAGTTGGTACCGCAAAACCAACTTATTTCCTACCACATGTGAGGTCTTGAAGAACATCTGGGTGGCATACTTCTGCTGAAGAAAATAAGCCAGTTCAATGGCATATCTGTTAAATAAAAATAGTGCTAATAGTGTATCAGAGTTATCACCACAGACGTGCCTGGCCACCCTGAGCCCATGTGACCAACGTCAGTCATTCCACTCCGGACACAAACACTGCTGGCTTCGGGTGGAAGTGCCGCACGCTCACAGTATTCCCAGGACGTACCGTTTTTCAGCCTTATTTATGTTCTCTCTTCACCCGTCAGCCTAAAAAATTACCACAGTGCCACTTACCCACCTTAATGGGAATCTGCACGAAAGGCCATTTCTCCAGTTTCTCTCTCTCAAAAGCAAAGGAAAACTTCCCAATATTAATATGTAGCAAAAAGAGGCAGAAGAAAAAGCCGATTTGGTCCGCCCTCCTGGCTGTTGCTACCTTGCAGCTTATGACATACACATAGAGGGAGGTCTGATGAAGTGAACGAGGCAGCCAGAGAGCTACTCCATTCCCGTGGAAACCAGGAGTCCCTTGGTGCAGACAGCTCTTCCTACTTTCCCGTGCAGTTCTTTTGTGTGACTTTGAGGGGCTCGTGAATGATTTCTAAATGTGTGCCTGCTGAGGCGAGCCGCACAGGGAGGGAGGAACCCAGCCGAGCCGTGCCAGAGGAAGCCAACAGGATCCTAGCAGTGCGGGAGCCGGCTCGGCTCTTGCATGCAGTTTTTGAAGTCAGCAAAACAGAAACCAAATTACTATCATATTATGCTGGTGGAAGATCAAGAAGAGGGGACTCTACACCAGTTTAATTACTGTGAGAGATACACTTGTTATTCTGTGACTCGCTGCATCTCATGTGTGGACCCTGAAGACAAATGTAAGTTCTCGTGCCGCTATATTTTATTGCTATGTAATTTTCTTTCCGGTTTGAAATCATGCTTGGCCAACATGTAATCATTTCAATGAGAATTTCTAGTGAGCAAAGTTGCCTGCTAATCTTTACTTAAGACTTTTTTGTTTTCCTTTTATTAGCTAAGCAACATTGTGGGAGCTGAAATTCCTGACAGCAGCTGTGGCAATTCAGCCTAAGAATGGCTGAGAACTGCAACCCAAAGTACATCCAATTACTATGGGATTAACACTGAATGTATTTTTAATTGACTTTCTTAATGTAGAATGTGTACATCCCCGCTGTTTCTGATTGCATGCTATTTTAATAATACTGTGGCTAAACTAGTACTATCGGCATAACCAACAAAATGAGATATAAACAAGAGTCCCAGTAGTTATAAAACTTTTCTTCTTTGTCCAGGACATTTACCTCCCGGAACGCTCAAAAAAACCTGCAACCTCTATGCTAAAAGTTCATTCTGCCTTTTTGTCCTCGCTTTGCCAAGAAAACAATAAAATCAAACCGTGGACTCTCCTAAAATTCTGAATGAAGAAAACTTAGAGCCACCACAGTTCGGTTCTTTATCATTGTAAAAATGGAAGACAAAAATCCAGCCCCAGGAGACCAGCATGTACACCAGTCTCAGTGTCACAGAGCATGGGGACATGAAGGTGAATGGTGAACAGAGGCTATAACGTGTTAGTCCTTCCACACCTCATCTGCTACAAGTTCTGGCTTAGACATGGATATTCTTTGTGAAGAAAATACTTCTTTGAGCTCAACTACGAACTCCTTAATGCAATTCAATGATGACACCAGGCTCTACAGTAATGACTTGAACTCCGGAGAAGCTAACACTTCTGATGCATTTAACTGGACAGTCGACTCTGAAAATCGAACCAACCTTTCCTGTGAAGGGTGCCTCTCACCATCGTGTCTCTCCTTACTTCATCTCCAGGAAAAAAACTGGTCTGCTTTATTGACAGCTGTAGTGATTATTCTAACCATTGCTGGAAACATACTCGTCATCATGGCAGTGTCCCTAGAGAAAAAGCTGCAGAATGCCACCAACTATTTCCTGATGTCACTTGCCATAGCTGATATGCTGCTGGGTTTCCTTGTCATGCCCGTGTCCATGTTAACCATCCTGTACGGTGAGTGGCATCAGTTTCCCAGCTGTACTCGCACTGGTAATAAAGAGCATGTGCATGCCATCAGCAGATGAGATGGGGCTCAGGGGGCAAACAAAAGATAAATAGAAGGCTTTATTTATAGTCTAGGGTCTACTATGTTACTTATATTTTACTCTTAAAATGGGATTTCACATAAAAATCAGACAGTCTACGACCTGTGATCATTGGAGAGTTTCGTGCTTTAAAACATGTACACCCTGTGTAAAAATGATCATTGGAAAGTTTTGTGCTTTAAAACCTGTACATTTAATGTAGACATTTTTATAAATTACCCCGATGCAGTCATAAACCACTAACTTACCCATCATTCTGAATCTACTTGATTTTTGCTCCTTTATATTCCCAACCAATATTCCAGCCTTCAGGACAGAACAGTTTCATCTTTGTCACACAGTTTTCGGCACTTCTAATGGAGTGATAAAGCCTTCCCAATTACCTTGGAACATTTGCAGGGAGGACATTAGTGGTGCAGTAGGTTTTATGTTAAAATATGCAGAGTCTCCATTAGAATAAATGAATTACTCCAGTTTTAATTGTTCCCTGCCCAGAGAAGCTAATTTGGAAATGTGCCTTTGAATTATATCCTCAACTCTTTAAAAATGCATATGCATACACTCCTCCAGTCTGGTTTGGAGGAGGGTGGGAAACAAATGGGAAGGGATTAATCTTGCTTTCTTCTCAACAGAGTTTGAAACAGTCAAACCTCTCAGCAAGGGACCAGAATGTGATATTCTTTCCAAATTATGAGTAATACAGCCAGATACCTCCTTAAAGGAGAGAGAGACTATTGTGACTGCTGACACAGGCACGAGCAGCAGTCACCCCAGAGCTTAGAGACAGGTTATGATAGCTATCTTTAAGGGGAAATTTTCTGGCCAAGTCTTAGGGGCTGAGATTTAAAAAAAAATCAACCCAGCCCTGGAGAGTGTGAAGAAGGAATGCGGTAGGCAAGGGCGAGCAGGCGCCAGTTTGCACAAAGCTGGTAATTCTCATTGCAAGTCCAGCCTTCGCTTGACCATTTAAATGCCACACCAGAATGATTTCATTAAATTTGCCTGTCCTTTCCCCGGCATCCTGGGGAAGATTCTCCCTTCCCACATCCCCTCCCCTAGGGGGCAAACTCCAGTGGGGGTAGGAGGAGTGACAGAGCAGGAACCAAAACAGCGGCTGGAGGGTGGGGTGACCCCAGGCGTCACCCGCTTGGGGAGCAAGGGCGCCCCCTGGCGGCCGCCGCTCTGAGCGCAGCCCGTTCCCTCCGGAGCCCCGCCCCTCCCTGAGCTGCTCCTCCCGCCTCGCCCAGTCCACGGGGCGTGGGGCATGAGGCTTCTCCCACAAGGAAATGCCCCCTCCTTATCCCGCATCGGAAACACGGACTGAGGCCTGGGCTGCCTGCTTGCGGAGAAAACCCCTCCGAGGGCCATCTGTTCCCAACAGAGAGAGTGTGGTTTCCCCCATCAGGCGCTGCAAAGGAAAAGGCTTTCATTTCAGCTCAAGCTCTTTGCAAATAATACAAGTGAATGGATGTAAATTAGGCTTGTACCTATGCTCTTTACTTGTCTAAGTATCTCCTGTGGCATTTTGGTAGAGAGTGTACGTTTGCGTTGGAGTTTGTTCAGCTTTGTGGGTCTGTAATAAGAAAAGTGGACTTTCAAATTTTCCTTCTCACACGCAGGCAGATCTAACTCCCCTGCTTATGCTGTGATCAAAACTAATTAAAGTTTATATAACTGCTTGATACACCTCCAAAACACAAAACCAGGACACTTTGTTTATGTCCATAAGGCACACTCTAAACTTCCTCATACAGCAGGTGACCTGCAGTGTCTCTTACATTGGAATTGTCTGGGGAGCTTGGAAAAGGCTTTGCAAACGCTTTGACATTTGATGTCCACCTCAGCCCACCCTCCAAAGATGATTTAATTGGGCTGGACCTGGCACAGGCATCAGGACCTTCTCTAAAGCTCTCCAGCTGATTCTGATGTGCAGCCAGGATTGAGAGCCACCACCCTAAAGCAGCTGTTCACAAAGCGTGGTCCCTGGACCAGCAGCATCCGCATCACCCTGGAGCTTGCTAATTCAAATGCAAATTCTACGGCCTGCTCCAGACTAACTGCAGCAGAACCTCTGGAGGGCAGTCCAGCAGTAAGAGGCGTGGCAGAGTCTGATGCTCACTGAACTTTGAGAAATGCTTCCCTAAAACAAAGCTCAGAGCAAGGACACCTTCCTTTATTTTTCTTCACCCTTGTCTTCACCTCTCCCTACACATACCCTAAATTTGAGTTTGGCACCCAAAGCATTATTAGATCATTATTTTTCATTTTTACAGATAGACATATTCACACTGAATTTTTAATCATTTAGTCATTTGCACCAATGCAATTTATTGCCATCACTGTATGGGACTGGATGGTTATAATAATGACTAAGAGGTGAGATTAACCTCAGGGAAATACAATCCAGAGAATCTGTGACTAAATCCTGACAGTACAGGGTGAGAGGTGCTCCAGAAGAGGAGCCAAAACACAACTTTTGACATAAGCCATTAAAAAAAGAAAAGTTTTGCCAGGTGTAAGGGGGATGAAAGAGAACCCCCAAATAGAGACAATCCGAGTTTCCATGCCACACTCACATAACTCCAGATGCTAGAAATGTTCAAACCCTGCATTCATCAGCCAGTGCTAGCTTATCATAGTTAAGTACAGTTGCCGGTGGGCTTCTTTTTTCAAATACTAAAAATATATTGTGTTGTCCTTTGCCATCACCTGTGCCCGTCCCAGAGCTGGAAATTGTCATAGGGTAGGGATCCGCATGCTCCAGGAGGCACAAGGTTGCTCACTGACACCAACCTTCTGCCTCATAGGGTACCGGTGGCCTCTGCCCAGCAAGCTTTGCGCGGTCTGGATTTACCTAGACGTGCTCTTCTCCACGGCCTCCATCATGCACCTCTGCGCCATCTCGCTGGACCGCTACGTCGCCATCCAGAATCCCATCCACCACAGCCGCTTCAACTCCAGAACTAAGGCATTTCTGAAAATCATTGCTGTTTGGACCATATCAGTAGGTAAGTGGGAACATATTTCAGAGTCTCATTTGAAATGACAGTTCGTGCTTTCTGAAAAGACTTGTTCCATTTTGTTGTACTGAAACCCGACATCCTCAATCTACTGTTTTGGGTGGTACAAGATATGTTACAACATCGTAATTATCAGATTCGCTTCAGGAAAGAAAAATCTGTTTATGTCACTGACTGACAAAATCAATTTGTATTGCTTTGCACAGGCAAGACTATAAACAGTGGAGCCAAAAAAAATCAGAAATAACTGTGCTGTTTTCCCTATTTCTTACTTTCAAGTCCACGACTCTAATTATTGGGTTTCCCAAAGACCTCAACTTTTATAATCACTGGACTTATGGTCAACGTAAAGATGCAGACCAGTTTGCTAGAGAACATAAAGCCTCTGGGCTCTAGAGAAAGGTACCATGTGCTGAAGCTTGGAGGGAAAAGGTGGGCCAGAGGAAAGTGCCAGGATTTGCTTTGGGGCAAGGCTGCTTCTCAGTCTGCCCCGGTGTCCTTAATGACCTTCCTCCTTTTATGATACCACACAGCAAAGGATTTCCACCCGCTTCTGTTAAGTTGATCACATACATTCATCTGTTGCCAGTATTGATTTTCTGTCACACACCTAACAGTCAGAAAAGCCAAGGGAAGGGAAGCTAAGGGGGCAGGTCTCAGGCAGTGAAGTGAATTGTACCTGTCAACCTCGGCAGCTTGGTTGGTAACCAAAGATTCTCTGACATTCATTTTAAAATCCAAAAGCCTGTCAGGCAGGAGTGTTGCACCTGCTTATGGCCAGGCTGGTGCCAGCATCTGCTAATATAAGAGACTATGGGATTCCACCGCTTGAAATCAAGGGCTTGAGTGAGCTTATCCACAGCATTGGATAACAGTACCAATAATAAGAGCCAACACAATAATACAGTATCTTGTGTTTTTTAGTTTCCATTGTTTACTTTGCTGCTAGCAATGGGAACTATTATGCAACTTGAAGAGTAGGTAGCTCCATCTTACAGAAGAGGAAAAACTGGGATTCAAAAAGCAAAATGAGCCGTGCAAAGCCCCACAGCCAGTAAGCAGCACAATGAGGATTCTGTTGAATTCTGATGGGAACATCTGATGGAAACACTAACAAATCACACTTGTGTCGCTTTCAAATGTTTAAAAAGTCTTACCTACATTCTGTTTTAAATTTCCCACTACAGTTTGAGACAGAAGATTCTATGGTGCTTATTTGATAAATGAGGGAACCAGAGTGCAGAGGTATTGTGGCTTATTGGGACATATCTCCAACTTGCAGCAAGACTAGGACCCTCAACTTCCAGCACCAAGCCCTGTTCTTTCTGCACCGTCCTTAGGAAACAGTTTTTGCTCCTAGAAAATGCTTGTAGTTTCTGGGACTGTGCAAGTTGGACTCATTCTACTAGGAGCAAGAAAGTGAAGGGCCAGTAACCACTCATTCCCAGTTACACATAAAATACTCCTGGGGAACATTCTGATTTAATGGCCTAGGGTGAGGCCAGGTGGTTCTAAAGAGCAGACAGAGTTGAAGACCACAGACAGGTTTTCAGGGTGGTCAGTATGATAAGTAGGAGAATCAAGAATATAATGCAAAGGGAGCAAATGAAGCTATTTATTTTTACCCTGATACACTGTCCATAGTCTTACCCCAATATACTGTGCGACTGGTGAGACAAATGCTGAGAAGGTCAACCATCTTTTCCTCAGCCACACTGACTCCCCCATCTCATTCAAGCTTCATGATAACAACAATAGTAAGGTAACAGTTTCTGAGCACTGAGTACAGACCCAGGAGTATACAAAAAGCCCCTTAAGGAAAATCAGCTGCAGAGAACTCAGTTGCACAGGATGATGTCGCTTATAATCAGGAGTCAATATGGGTCAATCGGAGTCCAAAGCCCATGCTCTTTCCACTGCCCAAAAGATAGCCGGAAAGAGCCAGAGGCAGAGCACCACAGGAGGCAGGCAGGCAGGCTGGAATGGCTGTGGTGGTGCTGGGCAGGGATCATTCATCCATCCATTTGGCCAGACTTTTTGAGACGGAGTTTCACTCTTGTTGCCCAGGCTGGAGTGCAATGGCACTATCTCGGCTCACCACAACCTCCGCCTCTGAGGTTCAAGCGATTCTCCTGCCTCAGTCTCCTGAGTAGCTGGGATTACAGGCATGTGCCACCACACCCAGCTAATTTTGCATTTTTAGTAGAGATGAAGTTTCTCCATGTTGGCCAGGATGCTCTCAAACTCCTGACCTCAGGTGATCCACCCACCTTGGCCTCCCAAAGTGCTGGGATTACTGCACCCACATTTGGCCAGTCTTGTAATGTGCATCTATTATGTGCTTGGCACTGCACAGACCAAGATGAAGAAGATATGCATTCAAAGATCTCTCACAGTAAGGTAGGCGAAGACAATTGATTCTTTTACCATTAAATGTCCCACTTTATATCTAGTGATGCTTCTTGACTTAATATCTATTTGATCTTAGTATAATTTTCTTTTGATTATCATTTTTGGATATATCTTATTTCATCCTGTTCCTTTCAAACCTTTTGTGACTTTAAAGTGTCAGCCTGTAAGCAGCATATAAAGTTTTGTTTTTAACTCAATCTTTGTCTTTTAGTTGGAGTATTTAGTCCTTTTACATATAATGTTAACTCATATTTGGATTTAAATGTTATCTTACAATTTGCTTTCTATTTTCCTTTTTGTTCTATATTCTAGTTTCTTTTCATTCTTACCTTCTTTTGGACTAATCAAGTATTGTCAATCCATCATTCCCCTTTATGAGCTTTTATCCATTGTTTTAAATTACTTTAATGATTACAGCATTCCTTATCGACCTTAGAGTCTAAAACAAATTATTACTTGTAACACTTCTTGGTTAGTGCAAAAACTTTAGAACATTTTAACTCCATCTATCCCTGTTGTCTTTTAGGTTTTTCCCTGTTTACTAAATGTCTTTTTTTTAAACCCGTAAGACATCATTATAGCCATTCTATTCAGTATTTCTCACATATTAACCCCTGTTGCTGTTTATTGTTTTCTTCACTTTCGTGATTTTGCCTGGGTTCCTCATTCCTGAAGAATTTCCTCTAGAATATCATGTAGTTTTTTCTGTTTTTCTTATCCTAGGCATCTTTATTTTGCTTTCATTTCAAACACATTTTCGCTCAGTATAGAATTCTAGGTTGACAGTCATCTTTTTTTCAGCACTTCATAGGTGGCAAATCCAACATTTCAGGCTTATATTTTTTGTTTATAAGAACCCAGCTGTCAGCCTTATTGTTATTCCTTCAGAACCATTGCCTTGTGCCACGCCCTGCTGCTTCAGAATATTCTGTCTCTATTTTAGCAGCTTTACCATGATGTACTTAATTGTGAATTAGTTTTTGTTTTTATCCTGCATGGTGTATATATTGATTCTTAAACTTGTGACTTTGGCCACTTTGAGAAAACACTTGGCCAACATCTTTTCAAATACTGCTTCTGCCGCATTCTCTCTCTTCCTCATGTCTGGGACTCCAATTTCATGTATGCTAAACCTTTTACCCAAGTTCTTTATAACTCAAACACTTCTACTTTTTTTTTTTTCTTTTTTCTTCAACTTTTAAGTTCAGGGGTACATGTGCAGGATTTTGTTACATAAACATTTGCCATGGTGGTTTGCTGCACAGATCATCCCATTACCCAGGTGTTAAGCCCAGCCTCCATTAGCTATTCTTCCTGATGCTAACCTTCCCACCTCCTGCCTCTGCAACTGGCCCCAGTGTGTGTTGATCCCCACCATGTGTGCATGTGTTCTCATCATTCAGCTCCCACATATTAGTAAAAACATGCAGTGTTAAACACTTCCACATTTTCTACATTTTTCTTATTTCTTTAGTTTTACTGACTTTTCTTCTTCTGTTTCTAGTCCTCTCATCAGCTACTTCTAATCTGCTTAAGACCCATCTCTTGTTTTCTTAATTTTAATTCCTACACTTTTAGTTGTAGATTTTTTCATTTAATCCTTTATAGATTCCAGGTTTTTAGAATAATTCTTCATGTTTTCATCTATTTTCTTAAATATTAATCACAAATATCTGGATATCTATTTTCAGGGTTGTGAGATGACCTAGGGACTTCTCTTTTCTGAGTTGTGGTTTTTTTTTTCTTCATTCTGTCTGTTGGTATGTCTGGTAATTTTTTTAAATTGAGTACTGTGTATGCCTGGTAATTCTTTTTAATTGAATACTGGACACTGGAATAAAATGTTTGGATGCTTTGTTGATACTTTCTCAGAGTGGAGTCTTTTAGCATTAGCAGCAGTTAAAGTAAGCACAGGTCCCCTTAATCCAATAAGGGATTGAGTTTATTTAAGGCAAGGTTCTTATAAAAACCAGTCTATTTCCAGTTTGCCTTTACGCCTAGGATGTATTTTTTCATGATCCCAGATGAAAGCCTGATGTGTTCTCCATTTTGAGGAGCCCTGAACTTCAAGTTTTATATCCTCAACATCGTAAGACTACTGCTAACTCTCTTTAGCTATTCGGCCTCTCAATCTGTTCGATTAACAAACTGGCAAGCGCCCGAGTAGAAAGGTGGCTCATAGTGTTATCTTGCTTTCTTGCTCTTCCCTTCACTCCACAATCTTAACTTCTTAACATCCTGGCTACCTTGGTACCCTCTCACCAACTGCTTTTTATCTCCCTGATCCCAAGGACAGGTTTGGGACCTCGAATTCTGCTTTATGTGATACTAATATTACTCTACACCTTTTTGTTTGACTCTCCCCAAGCTATTTTCTCATCTTTTCATTTTTAATATGCTTTTCGTAACTTTGCTTTATGTGCATTTTCACAACATATGGACAGATTTATTTTTAACAAAATCTGTTAGTCTTTGCCTTTTTAATACTGAAATTTGACCTGCCCACATTTGTGACAATCAACACCAGTTTTAGCCCTTCCATCTTACGTTCGTATTTTAATAGCTCATTTTTTAAA